TTTTTTTTTTTTTTTTGTGTGTGTGTGTGTGTGTGTCCTTTTATTTTTTATGTGCTCTGGCAGCCTTGATTAGATAGATTAGTTGTGGTAATAGATTTGGGAGAGAGGATAGTGTGTATATTTTTATTTGCAGTGAAGTTGAAAACTTATATGAATACTATTCACTGGTTTACTATGTTATGTTTTGAAGGAATTTTAAAAATAGGTTAGATAAATGCATAGATATGAAAAAGAAAAAAGGAGAAGAAGAAAAAAAAGACTTTTGAGACTTGAATATCCGTGAATTTAACCAACATGTGCACTTGATCTAATTCCTCCAGATATCATCTTACTCTGCCTGTGGGTTGTCCTCTTCATCACGGGCATGGCCTACCAGCTAACCCGTGAGCGCTCAGGACCTCCCTTCCACCCTCCAAGTCTGGCGTCTTGGAGAGCCACGAAAAAAATGGCCAACTTTGTCTTCGATAAGGTCTTTGCCTGCTTGCCCATGGACCCAGACCCTGGAGGTGCAGGCATTGAGGACCAGCCGACATGGAGGCTCCGGCTGAGTTACTGCTTCAGGTTGGTCCGGCAGAAGGTCACCTGCAGGAAGCGCGATGAGACGGAATCAGGCTACGAGAGTTTCCAGAGAGTGCGGTCCATGTCTCAGAGTGTTGACGAACCCGATTCAGAGTTTTCGGCATCGCTATTCACAAGGATTAAGGAGAGGATCGATGAGTGGGTTGAGAGTATCCGCTCACGCTTCAGAAGAGAGGACGAGGAATTGCTGCAGCAGACAGAGGTTTCACCGGAGAGGAATGAGGATGAGGAGCAGCTGCAGGACGTGTCAGTTTCATGCTGCAATTTTCGGAAGAGTCAAGTGGTACTTGATGATGCTTATACTAACAGTAATGCTGAACAAGAGACATGAAAAAACCTCTTTTGATTTCCTTCTCTCTTTTTCTATTTATACATAATTCTCCTTTTCTATTTTGTTCCTTGTATAATTTTCCCCTTTTTTTCATTTATTTTTCGTTTATCGTGATTCTCAAATGAACTGTACAGAGAATGCAGTATTTTATGATTAGTTGGTACATTGTAATTGTAAATGCACAGATACCAGAAAGATCAGAATAGACAGGTATTTCACAGACCTGGTGCTTTTTCGCCAGTGAAGGTCTCAATGCATTATTTTTTTTAGGATATGTGTTAATTATAGATAAGTATAAAAAAAAGTATTTCCTTATTTTAGTAATGAAGTTTAATATTTTTATTTATTTTGAAAGGTTTGACTATGATATTCTTAACCAGTTTAGGAAAAAAAAAAAAAAAACTGAATGATTTTCACAACTCGCTTAAAACTTCCACCTTCATTTCAGTAGATTGCACAGATATTGTGACACTGTCCATTCCATAGTGTTGCTTTTTTTCTTTTTTCTTTTTTCCAGAGAGGGCAAAATTATTTTCATTTGAAGTTTTTTAATACTGAATATATAGCAGCTGTGATCTCTACAATATTTATTCAGTAACTTTGTGTTGTGCTATTTTGGTACGTTGTGTGCTATTACAAAATGCATTTTATGCTAGTATGAGTATTGCTAATTATAGATCTGTTAATTTTATAAGAAGTAGCTATATTTTTGCCCTGTCTTTACATTACACTTTTAAGTATGATTCAGATCTTCATGTGGTAGTGATTATTGTTCTAGATTCGATATCTTTTTGATACTTATATTTAGATTATCTTCAGGACTGTATGTGTGGATTTTATACAGGATGGGTCATTTTTTCAGTGGGTAGACAGTTGAATAAATACTGATTTTGGATAATTTTGTCATATAAAAGAGAAAATGAAAAAAAAAAAAAAATAGAAAGAGCGACCTGTTATAGTTCTTGCCTGTTTCATGACTGAGATTAACAATTTGGATAACCAATGATAAATGAGACTGGTTTCTACTTCATAGGAAAGCGGTGAAGTTCCATTGCAATGTCACCAAACTAACTGGTGTAAGTGGCTTCTGAAAGTTCCAATAAGTAGGTCGGATACAATGCAAATATGAAATCTCCTACGTTTATTGAATTCAGTCCTCCAGTTTTGTACAAAGTTGCAATGACTATTGTATAACGTGAAACCATAGTTTCATCTTGGTCGTGAGTTTTCTCAGGAAATGAATAGAGATGTTGTAATAGTGTTGTTAGTTTAGGAAATCCAAAATTTATAGACCCTTCTTCACTTTCTCTCTCTGTTCCTCATTTTTTCCCCTTTCATCAAGTGTGCGGTGTGATTGTTAGGTTGTATGTGTGATTCAAAGTGAGTGTGCTTGCACTTATGAACAATCATAGACTTCACTTTTCATCCATAGTTTCAAATGTTATCAAGTTTAAAATAAGTGCTTTATTGATGATCCCAAAGACCATCGGTTGCTATAATTCTTGCCACATGAATATTCATTAAAGTGGAATTATTGTTAAAGGAAGAAAGTAAAAATGATTACACATTCATTCTGTGATAACTTTGATAATTGACATGGTTAGGTTGTTGGATCGTAATTTTGAATTATGCTGGCTATGCAGATTTGTCTCTGATTTACCTGCTTCTTCCAGTAGTTGTTATAATTGGAGATACAGTACCCCTAATGATGTCTTTTTCCGTCATTCCTTTCCCAGTTTGCACAATAATGAAACACTAGAGTGCCTTTGCAATGTATAACTCTGATCTCATTACAACCGTAGGAAAGCATGGTATTATTTGTACTAGGCAACAAATGTCCCTTTCCCTTGTTTATTCAGATACTCTCGTAAATATCTTGACTTCGAGGTTGTAGTTAATGGTCACAAGAGACAGTGAGTGTTGCAGTATCTCCAGTCTGGCCAGCATATATTCTCAAACCTTGTGATAAAGCAACTGTGTGACGATAAATACGAAGACGTGCAAGTGCTTATTCCGTTCATGCAGGGTGTCTGTCCATTACATTAGATTGTTGTTATGAGATAAAAAGCAAACTTAATGTCCATAATCATCAGCCATAATCAGAGGTGTAATGCATCTTAATGTCAAAATGAAGAAAAACCTGTTATTTGGAAGGCAATTATGAAAAGAAACTAAATTTTGGAATTTCATTTTTCACATTCCATTCCCATTATTATTATTATTATTATCATTATCATTATTATTATTATTATTATTATTATTATAATTACTTCTACTATTATTATTGTTACTATTATTATTATTATTATTATTATTATTATCATGATTATTTTTATTATTGGTGTTGTTATTGTTATAATTGTTGTTATCATTATTATTTTTATCATCATCATCACCATCATCAGTATAATTCTTATTATTATTTTTGTTATCATTACTGTTGTTGCTGTTGCTGTTGTTACTGCTGTTATTATCATTATTATTACTGCTGTTATTATTATCATTGTTTATATCAGTATCATTGTTTATATTACTATTATTATAATTATTATTATTATCATCATTATCATTGTTATTATTATTATTGTTATCCTCATTGCCATTATTATCATTATTATAATTATTATTATTATTAAATTGAAAGAGATTGTGATTGTGACTGATGGTTTGTACTTTCCATAATGATTTTTGGTGCATAGATTTTGAAATGTAAACTTACTGTAATCGTTAATATATTTATTTATGCATTTCTCTAAGATGTATCATTTACCTTAAACACACTTCCAAATATTCCAAATAAGTAGTTTAAATGATAAATCTGTTCTGTTTTAGAAATTCAGTATACAATAAAATAAATCATATTGTTTCTATTTGTTCAGTTGTTTCAGTTCAAAATGTTCGTTCATTTTTTTATGTTAGTTTTCAAGTATGATGAAAAAAAAANTATATATATATATATATATATATATCAACAGGGAACACGTAGAACAACCTAGAACAAATGAGAAGTAGAACATTCTAGAACAAACAAAGACTGACATAGTTATTTAATTCCAGTCTTGCAGTTTGATATACACTCTCTCGATAAAGACAGTGTCTGTGAATAAGGATAAGTCGAAAGTAATTAAATGTGTAAATAATGTGTAATGTCACTATGTGCTGTGTAATATTTTCACAGTCGTTTAAAAAGAAAAATATTCCTCTGAAAAGTTTAGTCAAAGAGCCGTTTCTGAGGAAGTGATAGAGTGGAAACATCAAAAACTAAGAAGAAAAAAAGCCGAAATGACTATTAATTTCATCCTAAATAGAAAATATAAATGAATGATACGCGCCAGTTGGAAAAGTTTTGGTTCACCCGGCAAATAAGCTTACCTGGCTGGTTCCCGTTTTCTGTCTTGGCGCGATGATTGAAGGGGATACACCTGTGTTTCGGATCGCTCGGAGGCGTCCAGCTGAGAGATCACCGCCTCGACCTTTTTCTCTTTTCTTTTCTTGATGGACGGATGATCTGGAGCCGTGTGATTCACCTCTTTTTTTTATTCCTAGTTTCAAATCCTTTGTTTCACCGTCAGTATTGTGAAGGAAAAATGAAAAGCCTTCTTTCTCTGAGCAAATCATATTAATTCACTTTTTTGGACGAGGCGCATCAGACCAGATCCAGCAGCGGGGATTTTGGGTGTGGATCAAAAAATAATCAAAGGCATCCATCTTGCCTTGTCGCGACAAATACGAGATCACAGCTGACACTAATTGGCAACTTATCCAAATGACTTGAATTCTTTTTTTCTCTCTCTCTCCATCTCTTTCTTTCTTCGTCTCAAAACAAAAATATTGGGGATTCTTCCAATACCATTTCTGAATATTGCTTTACTCGTTCACCTGTGTCAAGCAACCTTTTTTTTTTCTTTTTTATCTGGTGCTTTCTGCCTGACTTTGAACTGTTACGACATTTTCCGACTCGCTTTTTTCCATTGATTTGTATCAGTCTAAACGTCAATATTATGCTTGAATAAACACAGACTGAACTTCGATCGTACAATATTTGGAATCTTTACTGACCATGTTCATTTTGTCAGTCACGGTCCTTGCGTCTTCAGGGAGGAAAGGAAGGTTAGAATGAAATATCTTAGATCCAGGTTTCATTATATTTTATATATCATACAGTAACCACTACACACAACATGACTGGCGGTTGACGGGGTATAATGATAACTGGCACTATAATGGTTATAAAAATGGGTTTTATAAATGGTAGTAATGATGATTAAAACCAGGATGGGATCGGGCAGCTGTTTCGTCTATCACACAAGAACGCCCATTCCCATTAATTCAGGCTTGTAATACACGTCCAAAAATATTCTTACATATTTAATTTTTTTCCCGATAGTCATCGCTAAAGAAAGAGGAAAAAAATCAAGAAAGTTCTCTCTTCTTAATTCTTAATCAGTTCCATCTAATTAATAAGTACAAAAGTCTTAAAACATTTCACGATAGAGGGCACAAGAATTGGATGTCAGAAGGTGTTAGTGTTGTGGGCCTGTTTAGCCGTGTGTGGTCTTGCTGGGTCGCTCCTCCCCGCCCCTCCCCGCCCCCCGNGGTTATAAAATGGGTTTTATAAAATGGTAGTAATGATGATTAAAACCAAGGATGGTCGGGCAGCTGTTTCGTCTATTCACCTTATCAAGAACGCCCATTCCCATTTAATTCAGGCTTTGTAATACACGTCCAAAAATATTTACATATTTAATTTTTTTCCGAGATTAGTCATCGCTAAAGAAAGAGGAAAAAAATCAAAAAGTTCTCTCTCTTAATTCTTAATTCAGTTCCATCTAATTAATAAGTACAAAAAGTCTTAAAACATTTCACACGATAAGAGGGCACAAGAATTGGATGTCAGAAAGGTGTTAGTGTTTGTGGGGCCTGTTTAGCCGTGTGTTGTCTTGCTGGGTCTCCTCCCCGCCCCTCCCCGCCCCCCGCCCCTCCCGCCCTTCCACGCCCTCCTCCCCCTCCTCCCCCTTCCCCTGCCCGCCCCTCTCCCCTTCCCCAGATCTCTGGCAGGGGGCGGGGGGGACGCTGAGGGGTGAAGGGGGAGGGTGGGACACAGGGGCTGGGCCATTGAAGGGAGGAGTAAGGGAGGGAGCAGGGGGAAGGGCGTTGAAGGGAGACTGGGAAAGGAAACGGAAGGGGGAAGGGAGCAGGAGAGAAGGGAGATTAGAGGTACCTAAAGTAAATTTAACAGGAAAAGTATATTCCTATTAAATTTACAAAAGGCGCCTATCTGAAATGATTGTAGTGATTTCGTGATTTTTTTAGAAGTGTGAATGAATTATGTAATTGTCTTTTTTTCTTCAAATGATGACATATATGTCGTATTTTCTAGCCTTATTTACAAGGGTTGGTTAGGCCAACATAACACTGTACGCTATTGTGCAGCAGGCTAAGGTGAGGTAAGTCAAGGGTTAATGAAGAATTTGTGCATTTTCTTTTTTTTTTTTACACATATCAGATTCTTGGTAAATATAAAAATATACACGCAAGTTAAAATTAAGTCTCAATCTCTTTTTCCCACATTTTTTTTTGTTTCGTTTTTGTTTTTCTCTCTCACACATATTCACATATAAGGTTCAAGCGTGTTTAAAGAGGATTTGAATGTCTTCGCGCCAAAAAAAACAAAAACAAAAAAAAAACATAAGTGACTCGTTACTCTACCAACGCCACACCAACCGACAAACTAATCAATTTATTTGTCATTAGACGATGCTTCTATGCGTCACACCCAGCGACTGGTTTAAAAGGAATAAAGAAAAAGGAAATAACGATGTGTGGAAATGTTACGGAGTCGCGATACTGCAACTTTCGGTAACTTTCGGCCAGCGAATGTAGAAATAGACTACGATGTGTTCAGTACAGCTGCCCTCTATAATAAATTTCGAACGCTCGCTTTTGAGTTTAGTTAATAATGAATAAAATTAATTACGATATTGACGATAACGATAATGATAATGCCAATAGTAATAGTAATGATAATAATGATAACGATAATGTTAATGATAATAATTGCAATAATAATAATGATAATAATAATGATAATAATAATAATAATAATAATAATAATAATAATAATAATAATAATAATAATAATAACAACAATAAAGATAATAAAGAATACTATAAATGATGAAGGCTGCAGAAAAAAAAAGAAAAACGGGAAGTGCATCTCTTTGGTATAACGTCTGACTTTGGCGCCATTTATTTCGTCTATGAATCGGACTATGGGAATATATAATCATATGCATACACAGCTTTCACCAGCGATCAGCTTCTCTGCTACTGTCTAGCATGACCTTATTATGATCGTTAAGATATATACAATACAATGTAGGGATAAATAGGTTTACAAAAATATCGACAAAGGCGAGAGATTCTGAGAAGCGACGAAAATTACTGGCATGAAATCTAAACAATAAAAAAATGGAAGGCTGGCAAAGGACAAAATGTAAAATCAATATTATGCAGAAATCATACACACGGTGCTATGAAAATCCAGCGTCCAAAACCTCAACGATTTAGAAAGAAAACCATAAACAGTGGGAAAACTTGAACATTATATACCTTCCATCCGTTGGAAAATGCTCTTAAACCCAAACGAAAATAAAAAAAAAAAAAGAAACGCGATTTCGTTTTGAATTCAACATAAAATCCTTTATTACGCTTTTTTTCGTCTTCATAAAAAAGGCAAAAAAAAAAAAAGGAGTCTGAACCCATTCACATAACACCAATCAATTAAGGCATGTGCAAAAGACCTGATCAGCGAGTATTTTCACCGTGAACGGTCGCCCTCCGCCGCTCGTCTATTCTGCAAGTGACAGCCATTGAGGCGCCACCACACCACTGCCGCTACACTGGGCACGCTCAACATGGCAATACGCTGTAAAATTCCCACCATGCGCACAGAATGAAGTCTTTTGTCGCTAATTTTATGGGAAATTAGTTTGTGAAATGCGGTGCTATTCAGGTGAAACCAAGTCTGATATCTGATCAGATTGAATTTGGCGTAAGTGCAGTGATATCAATCGCGGGGTAACCCTTGACGGAGACCCTCGTTCGGGCGCGTTAATAGTTTTTATTGTGACGATCACTGGGACGGTGCTATAGTTCTGACTATTATGCGGGCAAGGAAACTAGTGATTTAAAAAAATGGCTCAACTCAGGGAGGTCCTTGAAGAAAGAGAGAATGGGGGAGAAAAAATATTTATATAAACGTTCTTGTGGAAATCTCGCAACACGACTTTGTGAGAATATTGGGCAACGGAAACTCGGGTGCAGGGAAAGAGGGGAAGAAGGTCTCGTTTCTGTCCAAAGTTTAGTGGGTTTATGCTATGTTGTGTATATTCATGAAGATGATAACTATGCTACACAATGTACTACACTATACACACCTTGTTTACAGACCTTTATACAGTAATAAATAGGTGTCAGACAACCAGATGTTTTCGCTTTCCGTCTTTTCTTCTGAGTAAAGCGAAAACGACTGGCGACACATTTTTTTTTTCGCGCCGTATCTCCTCTTGTCGTAAACCACGCAACCGCATCCCGTTTTCTGTGACTAAACCATTGTTCTGACTTTGGGATGCACGTTGCTGCAGTCAGAGGCGACAGCAACTTATGTAACTAAGGATTAATTCTAAGCTACGAGTATTTTATCTTGATTTTTTTTTTTAGATTCTTAATTACCGATGAATGACAGCATGCATTATACAATAATAATAATAATCTGGTCACAAATGGTATCGACATTTGTACCTAACTGAGGATACTGTGCTACTCTTCGGTCGAGTCCACTTTTGCGCTTCGGAAAGACGTCGAATCATTGGCAGGAGTATGAGCGCAGATTGCACGAGTCGATCTAGAAACTTTGACGTTGTTATCCCTCGAGGGAGGTGGCGATAACAGAGAAAAAGTTGGTACAGCTTCTTCTTACGAAATTTCCTTACTAACACAGTAATGCATTGTGAAACGTGACACTGTCATATTTAATCGTCTGTCCAAAGCAGAATATGGTACAAAAAACAACAAAGAAACAGGAAAATATAGATGTTCTCGTTCGCACACCGACGAGGCCGACAGTGCAAAGAGCAACACGTGGATTGCAAGTTATATCTCCTCGCATTTTGGTTCAGGAGGAACTATCACTTACGCCAGATCACTGGTAGCAGACGCATGATTACAAAGGAAAAAGAAGAGACAAGAAGAAAAAAAAAAATCATCATAATCCTATCGATTCACTTTTCACCTCTTCTCCTCCTCCTCCTCGTCCTCCTCTTCCTTCCTTCCTTCCTTCTCATTTTTCCCATCAGAAGAAGGCTCGGAAAAGAAGAAGAAGAAGAAGAGAGAGAGAGAGAGA